AAACCGTGGATCCACAGTATTGAATTGATAATATGAAATAGCTCCAAAAGGCTCCCGTACAGGTTAAGACACGATCGTCAAAATATACATTGTCAGAACTTACTCTGACCGTCGCGACTCACATACACGTTACATGTTACGACAATGAATCGTACTAATATTCAGTAACCGCTGGCACATAATAACAGATAATCTACACTACTATCAATACTACAAACTACCTACACTAATATCACTACTACAAAATATCTACACTAACCTACAGTACTATTAATACTATTATGGATAGATAGTCTATACTATACTAATACTAGTACCCCCTGAACCCGAAATGAAATTTTCTAATTTTCTTACAACATCTTAAAGGAAACATACATCCCTTGCTTCTTAGCCTTAACATCCCTTACGGACCATATACTACCAAGGCTCTACGCAAAAGGTCCATACATCGCTTTCATTCGATGTATAACAACTCAAACCAATCCACCATTGTTATCACTACCCCTCCTCTTACAGTCACGCGGCGCGACCCCGTTTGCGCATGCGTACCCGAGATATCAACGCATTCGCGCTCTCTCATTATCGACCATACATATACTTACATAAACATTACCCTTTACCAGAGAAAAAAAAAGAAAAAAATCGTGCGGTAATACACCATTGCATCACTGCATCGTCTTTCAAAACCTCGGATAAACTACGACGCGGCGTACTCCCAACCGCTAACGGTCTTTCCACGTGAACAATACGATGTTACACCAATTCATGTTCACTCACACAGAGTTCACCGTCCTACCGTCACCTAAAACTAATGACGACTAGATCATAATAACGAGATCACTAAGCACGAGAGCATATAACACGTCGAACTCCTGAGCTATCTCCGACTCCGATCTCCGCCCTGTTCCTCTACATAATAATGAGAGCTTCATGCAGACCATTTTACTTCAACATGTCGGATAGGTCGTCTTCTGCTTCACCCTCTGACCATGAGAGGAAGTCTCACTCCCACCGTCTCAGCACGACAGCGACCATGAAGAACAAGAAGATATTCCTCCTCCTCCACCACCACGTCATCACATATGGGATGCTCTGCCCATCGATGATCCATCAGACGAGGGTGGAAGACCCTTATTTTCACCCCCGAGGAGAACACCAAATTCGCTATAATCCTTGGGAGGAACCTGACCTCCCAGAAGAAGACGATTTACTACTTCAATTCTTATTCCTTGATATGGCACCGAATCGGGCTTTCCGGTTTCACCGGCAATTCTTACATCACTACGCGCCACTGACTCCACCTCCGTCACTAGCGTCGGACGAATCACAAGACTCTTGGCCGATCGGCGACGAAGGTGTTTACTCTTCGGAAGAAGACTAAAATACCTTGTAGACTAATGATGACTTTTTTTAAGAACAATGAATACGACGAGATATACGTGTACTATTTGACAGCATTTCACGGTATTCTCCGTGTATATACCTACATTATTCACGTTACGATACAATTTTTTTCCCAGACATTAATACGATATTTATATCCTCGTACATTTTCAAGTGAGATCGACTTTTATAAGAAAAGATTAGGAATATTAGACTAATCACGTTACGACGATGGATTATTCCCACTACGCTTGGCAGTGAGCGAACACACCAAGGAACGAACTTTGACGTATTAATAATGGTAATAATTATAATATTAATAGATACAGTACAGCACACAACACAACATTCATATTTGCATGAATACGTATAATCCACAAATTCAGGATTTACTCCTTTTACTACTTTCCGAAGTCCGCGGAGACGCACCCTTATCGGCATCATCGAACAAAACCGTATCCCACGCTACTTTCATTAACGATAAAGCCCCTCCCCTTTTTTTAAACTATACGCTACAGTTCCTCCTTCATTAAACCAAGTCAGCTTACCGCTGACCGCTGCCCTTCGTTTTAGTATATTAAAACTCCGTAATACTGAGCAGATACTCTTTTCTCCTTTCCTTACTACCAAGAACCCTCATTAGATGTTGCCCAGTAACTTACGCGAATATTTTCTATAGTTTCTAGTACGATAATCAATATTGTAATAATAATATCTCTTTATACTGATAATACTACACCAATATTAATTAGATAGGCTGATATTCAGCAAATGGTGAGTGAACAACACGCGGCAGTGCAATCACTACAGGTAACCATTACTATATAGGCTCACATACCTATCATCGATTCTTACTACTCTATTCAGCATAATACGATGTACTTGGCCCACCGGTACACGGTGCTGCAAGAAGACCTCACCATCCTGAAGGCGCAGCTCGCCCAACTAACAACGGATGTCAAAATACTACTCCAATGCGAAGTTTTTTTATTTGCAGTGTAGTATTATTTAGGAAGATATGTATTTCCCTTTATGGGCTGTTCGAACCAATAAACTAAGTTCATGAACTATCTTCACCTTACACTTGCACTTTATATATTACATAGTTCGATTAAGAGATGCTTCGATCTCTTCAATACACCTATCATCAGGGTACACTCGCGGACGTAGCAGCATGCGTCGATCCATTCAATTATAAGTTAAGACAACATCCGCGGCAAATGAATTAAGACAACATCCGTGACAAGAAATGTAGCCATTTCGCTGTGAAATGCAGTCATACTAATACGCATTAATTATAAGTGTCATCATACACTACATTACTTCTCGGCAACTAACTTCTCCTCACTCTTTAGCTATGGAGCGTGACGACGTGGTGGTACTAACTCGCGAGGACTTCGAGCGCATCCTCGCAACAATCCAAGCACAGATGGATGAGATGGCAGATATTGTTAATCGACTCCACGAACTAGAGCGACGGATAGTGCAGTGCGAACAAAGGACTTATACCACTTTGGCAAGGGCTCACGATGAGCGGCACGAATATCGAGATCGTTCCGAAAGAGACGAGCAATAATTGTACTTCTTTCACAAAAAATAATAAAGAGTTGTCAGAAACCGTGCATCGAAATTGATCGAGGGTGGAAGCCCATACTACTCTATTGTCTCGTGATATGAACTGACTATACGCCATTCACTACCGAATAATGACTTTGAGTAATATTTTCGTATCACTATCATTATAGTTTGCAGAGAGTTTCCCATTTTCAGCATGAATCGTCAAGAGCAGAACAAGGGGAAAGACGTTCTTTTCGAACGTCTACAACGACTCACACGACAAATCCGCACTACTCAATTACTATGCAGGAATATCGATCGACGACTAACCGATCTCGAGCGGACACTAGATCGCGCTCTTACGCTTCGCGAGCGCGAGCTCCAAAGAAGAAGGGAGAACATGAACAGACCGAACTGAAGAAATCCTACCACGTGGATAGAGAATACTTGAGGAAGGCACAATGGGTTCACTAGACCGAGCCTATTATTTTACGCGCTTTCTACGCAATATCGTACAGTGTCATGACAGTGTCAGCTTCTCCAATATCAAATATGTGGACTGTGAAGATAAGAAAGCGATAATCCAGACACCATGCCCTTCTGACGCTCAACTATTGAAGTGGGGTCGTAGAAAAGCTCACCAACGGCAGAAAATAATCCGTGAGAAGTCGCCGAAAATCAGCAGAATGAGCAGCACTGCAAGTTTTTCTGGAGGATGAGAAAAATGCGAAGAAGTCGGGGGTTATCTAAAAAATCCACGCTTGTTGATATTATGTCGATACCAGCTCGTCCCTTCTGTCACGTCACTCCCATCACTAGGATCCTTACAGTTCCTTTAGCTTGCTGCATTTCATCACTGGCTTATTTTGCCACATCAACGCGTCCGCTGGAAGGCAGATATCAGGAAGACAGGTGTGGTGCAGGAGTTGTACATTATGACGAAGGCGATAAGAGAGGCCTAGTACATACGGTATTCGCGCAAAGGTTCAAATGGTATAGTGGAAGTGGTTACGCTATAGTGAGACAACTAGATGAAAAATGCCGCGCTTCGTTCCGCGTTGCAGCAATGTGGAATATCTGCGGTAGATTCGTGAAAGGCTAAATCAAACGAAAATTCTTATTTGGCAACAACCGGATACAAAAATTCCTTTGAGGTTGAATCTATCGGTGACGGTTATCTCTGCGTCTCTGGTCTACCAGTTCGCAATGGTCATCTACAAATCAAGCAAATTGTGGATATGTCCCTTGCTTTTATGGACTACGTGAGACAATTTGAAATTTCGCCCTCTTCCAAGGGAGAGGGTGGAACTGCGCATAGGTGTGAATAGTGGTGAGTGAACTTTCGAGCATTTTCCTTCCAAGCGTATTCTACGTTAACTGTATGAGCGGAGTGACTCGATCAGGCGTGTCCTTCTCACTGACGAGTCCTTTCTAAGGTGGCGAGGTCCCCGAAGTAGTAATGTATGCCTTACAGGAAGTTTAGTGGCCCTTCTGGTAAGACAACGCATTGCTTCCTACTGCAATCTCCGCAACGTTTCCAGAAGATCTCGGAGTAAGAGGTGTAGAGTCCACCTGGTAAACACCCTCGATCAACTACTGGATTAGTCAGAAAAATTTCCAACGGCAAACAATTGCCCCCTCTCTTCAGCGGCCAAACGCGAATCCCTATGTTTTACGCTCAGCATTGAGCCCCAGCGCATCGTTAAGAGACGGTCCCCAAGCGACCAATCACTCACTGAAAATGATCTGTCGAGGTCCAGCTAGGTACATCCGCGGTATGTGAGAAATGTGAAGAGTTTTTCTTCAATGTGATTCCCTCTTTCCTATGAAATTCCGCGAGTGTTCGTCCTACACTCCTCTCTCCATGGCTTACGCCTTTGAGAGCTGCAAATGATTGAAATTTTCTGAGCTATGCAGCAGCACAGGCTTCGTCTACACTTGAATAGAGTCTAGAGATCTGATCTAGGTGAGAAGTGTAAGGTTACAACATACGGTAAAAGAAATTAGCGAAGTAGGTGAACGCCCCCACCCATCTGACCATGAGCAGAAGAGCGACAAACTTTTCGCGTTCACTATTACCGATGTCTCAATAAAGGACATGAGATTTCCAGGCGGTTGCGTAGCAGGTGTGGTAGGGCTCAGTATGCCTCGTTATTGTCTCTTCGGTGACACCGTGAACACTGCCTCAAGAATGGAGAGCAATGGAAAAGGTATTCACTAAAGGTTACCTGCTTTATTGAGAGGTGTTCTCGAAGAAATATGTTCAGCTAGTCATATCCATCTTTCACTCACTCTCCTCATGGAGACACTTCCTTCAGACTACAAAACCGAGCGTAGAGGCGAAGTGATTATAAAGGTGAGGCTGTTAGCAAATCTCACTAATAGGGAGGGCGGCCTAATCAAATTCCGCAACCAATTAGCTAGCTCTGTGTCGAAAGCCTGATTCTTGAACCGCTGCAACTTACGTAGAATCTCGCCATCAGAAAAGTGTTGTTAACAGAGTCCGATTTTCGTTTGCAACACAATTATATCAAGGATATACGATTGAAGTTTGTTGTGATTTTATCATTTTTCTCCCTTGAATCGGACAGTTGGATGCGCAAAGCTGTTTCTTTTAGATGCCCTATTTCCAGTAACATTAGCGATTCCTCCCTACGCCCTCTCCCTCTACCCACCCTACCCAGCAGAATCCGAGCAAAAAAAGTGACATCAGCCGAAAGAGCTTGTATAGGTTGAACGTGATATTGCTGACATACCGTGATGAAGTTTTCTCATTTTGCCCTATCCACAACCTAGAGCTAGATTCGGTTTTAAAATACAATTCTACAGTGTTTTTTCAAGCATTATGCATCACTGACTCATTTAGGGCAAGGGGAGTGATGGAGACATTCTGGATGCTGGGTCAAAGAAGAAAAGCACTGCTTCAGCTCGGCCGACAACTGTAAATCAATCTCAGCAAATGGAAAACTACAAGAAGGTGCAGGAGATACACACGAACACGTCTTCATCCATTCACGAAAATGAAAATCTGTAAGCTGAGTATAAACGAAAAAAAATAGAGGATAGTTTAATTTGTTGCACACACTTGTTGAACTGAAAATTAGAGAACGTCTTCTATGGCCATACAATAAAAGTACTAATAGTGTGCTTCAACAGGAAGTTTACTTGTAATAGGTCGGCCTTAAGTAATGGCTGTTCTTTTCTTGCGCGAATGTCGCTCCAAAGCATGAAGATGATTGCCAATCTGATTTCACACTGTTTGCAGAAAAAAAATCCTCGGCCCTATTACGACAGTCCGCAATTTTCTCGAAGTACCCACTATATTAAGTGCTCAAGATGGAGTGTCAGGCCGACGAAACTCAGCATATTATTCGACAGACTTTACACATCTTTATTCTAGTCACATAAAGCTAAAATCGAAAAAAGCAAAGTTTCTAAGTAATGTGCTAAGACATGTCTCTTAGCAGCGTCAGACTTCGCAACGACAGCGACTTCGGTTCGCCGGGCCACAGCATACGACCCCGCATGCTCGTTACGATGGCTGACATGCTGACTGTGGCTGTGGGTTTATACCGCGAAAAAGAGTTCGGAGCGGGGGAGGAGGAGGGGTCATACACCCATGAATGAACAACCGTGAACTCTGGCCAGAAATACGACCCCCCCCCCCTCCCAACAACGACCAAATACGACCCCCCCTCCAAAACGTCCGCAAAGCGAGAAAAATCAACTATAAAAATAAATTTTTCCCAGCCCAAATACGACCCCCCTTTTGGCGGCCAAATACGACCCCCCATAGGGAATCCCATCGACACGCTGTGCCTCTTCGGTCGCGGCGTTCTACACGATCGATGCATGCTTTCGAACTATATAAGATCGTGCAGAACGAAGTCCGACGCTTGCTTTAATAAGCAAAAGGGTTCAATCGATTCAAATGTACCAACTTCGACCTCCCAGACAAGCATCGCACCGCCCTGCTGAGTCCAAATAAAAGTTGGCTGAGTCATCTTCTTCACGGAGATTCATGTCAAAGATTGAGTAGTCGTTAGAGGTCATCGAATGCCTCCTTACCATAACAAAGCATTACCTTCACTTGAATGGAGAAGTTCAAAAGTTAGTGGGTGGGCGCTGCAGGCAGTCGCTCCTCAAAAAAGGCCCCAATGCCATGCCTATTTACAAGGTCCAAATTCCCATCTCTTGGTCGCTTGAAACCTTGAAACGCCTTCAAACTGTCATGAGGAGCATTTTTCTTTCAAATACCCATATATAATTCGAGCCTTATACTACAATTTGATAGCCGGAACAAAAAAGCAAAAATGTGTTATCGAAAACTCGCGGGCGATTCGACTCCTCTTCAGTCAAATAAAACCAACAGATTCAAGAACTAGCTAGAAGCACCCACTAACTTTTGAGTGGAAATATGTGACAAAACATCGTAGAGCACATCGAGAAATGACTGTCAATTTCTATATAAACACTAGGGGGGAAAAAAATCTAACAAATTATAAAATGATTATATTATATGTTTCTCGACAATGGGCCTGTTAAGCCGCGATGTCGAGAAAACATACTGAATACTTTCGACACAGAGCTAGCTAATTGGTTGCGGAATTTGATTAGGCCGCCCTCCCTATTAGAGAGATTTGCTAACAACCTCACCTTTATAATCACTTCGCACTGCGCCGACTCGTTTTGTAGTCTGAAGAAATGTCTGCCAAATGAAAGAATGTGGGACACTGTGAACGATGGCAGTATGACTAGCTGACGGATTTCTTCGAGAACACTTCTCATAGTGAGTCTAATCTTCAATGAATACTTTTTCCATTGCTCTCCATTCTTGAGGCAGTGTTCACGGTGTCACCGAAGAGACAATAACGAGGCATACTGAGCCCTACCACACCTGCTACGCAACCGCCTAAAAATCTCATGTCCTTTATTGAGACTCCGGTAATACTGAAGCAAAAAATTTTTTCGCTCTTCTGCTCAGAGCCCAGGAAGGGGCGTTCACCTACTTCGCTAACTTCTTTTAACAAATGCTGTTACCTTACACTTCTCACCTGGATCAGACTCTATTCAAGTGTAGACGAAGCCTGTGCTGCTGCATAGCTCAGAAAACTTTCAAGTCAAATTTGCAGCTCTCAAAGCGTACAGCCTATGGAGAAGAGAGTGTAGGACGAAATCAAACTCGCAGAATTCTAATAAAAAGAGGGCACCACCTCGAACAAAAAACTCTCACATTCTTCACATACCGCGGAAGTATTAGGTTGTCCGGAAAGTTCTTAGCGTTTTGGGTGTTTCACTTTAAACGATCGTAACTTTTTTAATACTCATCGGATTTAATCGAAATAGGCACCATTCGAATCCAGGCACACTTTGCCAATGAGATCAGCTAGTCGAGAAATCCATAAAAGGAAAGAAACTGTGCGAGAATCCACGAAATCTACGAAGGCTTTTTTCCTCGTCCTAATTGATGAAGTATTTTTCAGCAAGGAAGTTCTGAAAATGTCTGAAAAGGTGACAGTCGGTGAAAGGTCTGGAGAATATGGTGGGTGAGGTAGAACTTCAACTCCCAATTCGTTCAATTTATGGATAGTGGATGGTGAAGACGTGCTGGAGCGGGCGTCTGTCATGCAAAGGAATCGGACCCTTTCTTTGATAAGTGCTGGCTGCAGCTGACAAAATTTTCGATACCTTTGTTGATTCCTTTACAGTAGGGTTCTACTGTGTTGGTTTGGCCTGGTGTTAAAAAGTTATAGTGGATTACACCAGCCGATGACTACGCAAAACCTGAACACGAAGAATTTTTTTTTCAGTGAAGGGTTCGGATTTGCCAAAAATTCACCTTTGGTGCGGTTCGTCCAAATCCAAGCCGAGCTGTCCAGAACGGCTCTCCTGTATAATACACTGTTCCATTAAATCATCACAGGTGCAAATCGGTACACAAACGGTAAATTCTATTGCGGTGCAAAAAGCAGTGAAGAAGGAACCGTCGAGACGTGGCCGCAATCCTCGTCCCACCCAGATTGTGGGTCAAGGAATACAGTACAGGGCAAGGAAGATTAATTTTCGAGTTTTTTTTCACCTTCCCAATGCGTTTCAAACAATCTGCAACACTGGATTGCCAAACGCCTAGCTTTCTGCAATCTCTCGAACTGTTTGGGATGGTCAGCCTCCAAAATCCCCTCAAAATCCTCGTCAGATATTGCTTTAGGTCGACCGCTATGAGGTTCATCTTCAAGGCTGAAATCTCCAGAACGAAATTTGTTGAGCCATTGCCGCACAGTGCTTTCTCTAGCACTATTGGGCCCCACACCTGGTTAATTTGTTGAGCTGTTTCGATTGCGGATTGCCCCAATTTATAGTCGAAGAAAAAAATCGTCCGAAGTGCTCTTTTCACATGCTTGAAAAAATCTTGAAAAAGGGGGTTTATCAAGCAATGGTGAAACGGCAATTATACCATCAGATAGCGCAAGAAATTCTCTACAGGATGTGCTACTGAGAAGCAAGGCAGAAAGAGTTTTTAAACAGCAGTGAATGTACAAAAAATAGGTGCACAAAACGCTGAGAACTTTCCGGACAACCTAATACTAGCTGGAACCTCGACAGATCATTTTCAAGTAGTGATGGTCGCTGGGACCGTCTCTTAACGATGCGCTGGGGCTCAATGCTGAGCGTAAAACATAGGGGACTTGCGTTTGGCCGCTGAAGACAGGGGACAATTTTTTGCCGTTGGAAATTTTTCTGTTGATCGAGGCTGTTTACACGTTGATTGCTACATCGCTTTTAGCCGCCGGGGAGGTTTCGGAAACGATGAGGAGATTGTAGTAGGAAGCGGTGCGTTGTCTTACCAGAAGGGCCACAACTTCCTGTAAGGCATACATTACTACTTCGGGGACCTCGCCACCTTAGAAAGGACTCGTTAGTGAGAAGGACACGCCTGATCGAGTCACTCCGCTCACAAGTTAACGTAGAATACGCTTGAAAGGAAACGCTCGAAAGTTCACTCATACATATACAATATATGCGCATTTCTACCACTGCTCGCTTGAAGAGGCGAAATTAAATTGTGCCTACACCGTAAATCCATAAAAGCAAGGACATTCACAAATTTCTTGATATAAGATGACCATTGGGGCGAACTGGTAGAACCAGAGACGCAAGAGATTAACGTCACCTGAAATCAACGTCAAAGAATTTTGTATAAGCGCGCCACGACCTGAAGAGCCTCTATAAATGAATGTCCCCGCAACTGGCATTGAGCGTACCCACTTTCTCCATTTAATACAATGACTGATTAGTGGTGCGCGAGTGCAGTCTTCACACCAACAATTGTTCAGTATTTTATTTTCATTGGATTCATTTTGAAGGGCTTACTCTATTTCTCCAAATTAATTCAAAAGAAGAAGGGAGGGGGGATCACTTCAACGTAGTTCAGTTTCCGTTTCG